TTATCCGCTTAAATAAGCGACACATGATCTTGTTCTGGACACATCAGGCTGGACTCTGATGCCAGACCTTTTCTAGATAGAAACCAGACTCTGTCTGGACCATGACATCATTCTAACATTATAGGTAGGAGCTAGGCTCAGGCACTAGGCCATAGGCCGGTCAATTCTAGAGCCTAGGCCCAGGGCAGGGTAGGGCCAGACTATGACATCATTGATAGCACCATATCACACCATAGGGCACATGATACTTAGTAATCCTTACTTGGCTAGGTACCAGGGGTCCATTACTGGTCCCTGGGGGGTTTTCCCTCATGTATATAAGACAGCATCCTGGGGCACCCTGCCCCCCAGTTCTATTCACTTTGTTGTTGCGCCTAACAGCATTACCTCCCCCACACTTAGGTCTATTATCTTCCCCCCTCAATATCAAGGATATAAGATGGGTTTGTAGGTTTTGTGATACTCAGGGTTGTGCTTGCGTAGCCAATTCAACCCAATGATCACATCCTCTGGACCAATGTCTGTGACCATAAAGACTGCTTTCTCCATATTGTCATGAGTTGGTACGGCATCTAGCCGTTTTTTAATTTTTCCTTTTTGTGGGCTCGAACCCGCGACCTCTGTACTATACGCTCGAACAGACAAGTCTCGTCAGCACATCACGTGCCTGTAGATAGATTAGATAGGATGGCAGTGCACGGCACAGCTCAGGCTCCGCTGACACAGCCGCTCTGACTCACCGGCCCCCAGGGCCACGTCAGCATGCTGTGCACGGACCAGCTGCGCATGGACCAGTGCGCACAGCCTGCCCTTATCTCCTCCTGTATATAAACCAGCCTCTGCTGCCCTAGGGACCTCAGTTTCGACCTCTTGTCCCTAGGTCAGTAAGCCCCTGTACTTACTTACCTTTCTATGCTAATTAATCTTGTCCCTAGCCTTAGGTTTGAGCCTCGCTCACCATCGCTTCGGTAAGACCCAGTCAAACACCCCCAGCGTCTTTGTTTGGTTTTCCCCTGTCGCTTGACCCTAAGTCGTGACAGCAGGTGCAGCACTGGTCTTCCACCACTTGTAGATTTTTTTTGCCAGACACTGTAGGGAGTAATAGGGGATTAAGGCTCAAATGGAATGTCACATGATATGCACATGATGGGATGGTACATGATCTGTGGCAAGGTTCTATTCTCAGATACACAGATAACACATTGTGTATGCTATTCAGATAAAGTCTCCTATAACTCCCACAGTGGCAGGAAGGAGCCTGTGGCAGTAAAGGCTTACTGATACTTTGAATGCAGCAAAACCATTAGTAAACATTATCAATTTAGTATCTCAGGTGTGTTCTTTGAACACTGCTCTAATATTTTACCTACCACTGAGATTGAGCCACTTAAAGATGGTCTGGCATACATTACAGAGACAGAGGAGGCTCGAGTCGATGTTGTCACAGTTTCCCTAATTTTACCTAATTTTTCCGCTATTTCTGCGAACATATTGAAGGGTCTAGGAACTTATTCATACTTATCTATCCGCATATGGGTATATCTGCATATCTAAGGTGTTATCCGCTTAAATAAGCAACACATGATCTTGTTCTAGTGTTGGGCCCCAGGTTCATCCTTGGTTTGACTCTGTTTACTCCTTTCCTGGTTTGGCTTATCACTGCCTATGGTAGCGTACCATCCACGTGAACATTGATAAGACTCGGCCTTATTGTCTTGCATCCCGGTGTCTCACCACCAATGTTAGACTCAGGGAGGTCAAGTCAGGTCTTTTGTGTATGATTGAGATGCCAGTCTTATGTGACTCCCTTATTTCATATTGTCTTGTTGTACTATAGGGGTCCTGGCTAGGGTAGATTACCGGCCCATGTATTTAAAAACACATCGAGCAGCGAATAAAGACAGACATCTCTCGCCGTATTCCTAGCCCTCCGGATCAGAGCTCAGACAGAGATATGGCGACATCACACTAGACACATCAGGCTGAACTCTGATGCAGGACCTTTTCTAGATAGAAACCAGACTCTGTCTGGACCATGACATCATTCTGACATTATAGGTAGGAGCTAGGCTCAGGCACTAGGCCATAGGCCGGTCAATTCTAGAGCCTAGGCCCAGGGCAGGGCAGGGCCAGACTATGACATCATTGATAGCACCATATCGCACCATAGGGCACATGATACTTGGTAATCCTTGCCCAGCTAGGTACCAGGGGTCCATTACCGGTCCCTGGGGGGTTTTCCCTCATGTATATAAGACAGCATCCTGGGGCACCCTGTCCCCCAGTTCTATTCACTTCGTTGTTGCACTTAACAGCATTACCTCCCCCACACTTAAGTGCTTTATCTCCCCCCCTTATCATCAAGCTATAAGGTGGGTTTATAGGTTTTGTGATAGTTGAATAGAACTGCTTTAAGGTGCACTGGGCCCTGGCAAGGGTCCCTTGCTACCTGCTTTGTTACAGGGCCTATTGGTCGTTGCTATGCCCCTATGCTGCAAAGCGTAAGGTGGCCTTTTATGTGGGTTCTGGGGGTTATGGTTTGCCTACTGAAAAGTGGCAATACCGTTCTGTGAAGCACCTACCTTTATTGGTCAGGGTTGAACAATTGGTGTCAACATGCTGAGCTTTTTGCTGGGCCCTGGGCATAAGGGGTGGTTGCTGCCTTCAGGTGTCATGAGTTAGTACGGTGTTTAGCCGATTTTTAATTTTTTCCTTTCTGTGGGCTCGAACCCGCAATCTCTGTACTACACACTTGACCAGACAAGTCCTTATCTACTGTACAATTAGATTAGATGGGACAGCAGTGCATGGCACAGCTCGGGCTCCGCTGACATAGCTGCTCTGACTCACCGGCCCCCAGGGCCGCATCAGCATGCTGCGCACAGACCAGCTGCGCACGGACCAGTGCGCACAGCTTCCCCTAAACTTCCCGTGTATATAAGCCTGCCTCTGCTGCCCTAAGGACCTCAGTTTCGACCTCTTGTCCCTAGCCTTAGGTTTGAGCCTCGCTCACCATTGCTTCAGTAAGAACCAGTCAAATGCCCCTAGCACTTTTGTTTGGCTTTTCCCTGTTGCTTGACCCTAAGTCGCGACATTAGGTTGAAACTCCTCACTGCTGCTGGTGTTCATCGGAACCCCACACTCATTTTTCACCTCCTATAGGTTGGGTGGTGCACACCCTTACTGTACCCTATGATATGTAGATAGCGTACTATACATCGCCACCACTAAGGAAACGAACTTTTCAGTACCTGCACTTCAATGGGCAGTACTTGTCCTCACGGACACATGGACTAGGTTCCTGCTGCATACTAGCCAAGAGCAGTACTGGGCCCCACATGAATTGCAAACCCTAGTGTTACCTCGGGCACCGTAGATGTAAGCTAGTCTAGCACGGCCTTTCGTAGTATGCGCACCTCCCCTTCCTCCCCCCCATCGTGGCTGCGTGTCAAGGTTTTGTTCATGCCTTCAACTCCAAGGACCTCATCGACATCTACCTTACTGATGGTCCTTTCACCCTCATCTTTGCTTGCGAACAACAACAGTGCCCCAATCACACACCCTGATCAATTGAGCAGGATTACGAGCATTACAAGGCCATTAGAAGGGTCCAACATCTGCACAGTCCCCACAGCACCCACACATCCCGATCCACATCTTGGCACTCCTGCACTGTCTCTCCCAGTTCTCGCCTCCCTCAAACTGTCGCCAGTACAAGCCAAGCAGGAGGAGATCCTGATCTCCCTGTAGACCCTGCACCAGAGTCAGAGTCTGAAGAGAGTGCAAGTGAAGAAGTCTCGGAGCCCAAGCCTACCCTTCACGGTCAGACCACATCACCGGACACGCTTCATTCCACGTTAGCAGTCCCTGACATATGTGACACTGCCCCTGAACTTCCTTCAGTGCCTGTACCGCTGTTGCCGCTGCGAGGCCGCCCGCGCACTCATTCCCCCTGAAGTCAGCCCAGTGGACAGCCACAAACACCACCTCCACCCCCAGGCCATCCTCTGTCCCCCCTGCTACCAATAATGTCCTCACCAGCATCCCCTCCCAATAAGGAAACACTGAAGCACCTCCTCCTGCTTCGCTATGTCGGGAAAATGGTTATTGAGTGCAACTGCTTCATCTTGCAGCTGCTCATTTACTGGGCAATCAATATGACCCTTTCCACCATCGAGCTGAAGATACAGGTCGCTCTAAGTCTCCTTGATGGCGATGCCCGGACCTGGGCCACTCCAATCTTCGCCCAGCTTGCAGCCATACAAATCAAGGTCCAAGGAGCAATGACCCCCTTTGCTAACAAAGTGGCCTTTCTTACGGCATTCAAAGCCCGCTTTGGGCAATCTTGATGATGCTGCTGCTGCTCAAGTAGAGCTCGCCAAGCTCTGCACTGACAAAAAACCTGCACGAAAAGCACACCACTGCGGAATTCTCCATGCTGTTCAAGGGTCCAGTGGACCGTTCCAGGTATGATGACCTGGAGCTCCACAACAAGTACCTAAGCGGCATCCCTTCCTGCATCTACCGCAAACTCGAGCTTGAGATGTTCACCACATGGGAAGACGCTGACAAGCATGCCACGAGCAGCAACTTGACATCAGCTGGGCGTGTCAGCCTGAGCTGAACAATTTCTTCTCTGCTCGAGGATGAGGACATGACGGTGTACCCCGCTTGCAAGGCGCTTCGGCCAGCATCAATGCGGTTGTCAGAAAAGGAGACTTCCCTGGTGAATGTTTCAGCTGTGGGAAGAGAGGGTACCGACACTTCAAGTGCCCCAATTGTAAGAACAAACCTTACACAAAACGCGCTGACACGTGGGCTACAGTTGCCTCGGGTTCCACCCAGGTTGCGACAAGCGCCCCCATTGCTTCACCCTTGGCAAGTACAAGTGCCGCTTCAGCAAATACTGAGCTGGTGGACTTGATGGCACAGGTGAAGTCAATGCGCGAGGAGCTCGAGCACTATTGGACAATGAAGGAGGAGCCTTTTTGATCTGGTCTGCGCTTTGTGCTGCACACATCGGGCTGAGTATATCTTGTAATCAGTATAACATATTGTCTTTTGCAATGGTGTACGAGTTGGACCATGGGTCCCAGCATTTTCACATTCCAGTACGACTCAAAGGGAAAAGACGGAACAAGGATATAATTGCTATGGTGGACAGCAGGGCCACCATGAAGTTTATCAACAAACGATTCATCACAGAAAATAAGGTGCAAATGCGGAAGTTGAAAGAGCCAATTCTGCTATACAATATCGATGGCATCCTCAATAAAGACAGTAGCATCTCAGAGGTAGCTATCCTCGAAATGCAGATAGGAGACCATATGTGTCGCGACTTAGGGTCAAGCGACAGGGGAAAACCAAACAAAGACGCTGGGGGTGTTTGACTGGGTCTTACCGAAGCGATGGTGAGCGAGGCTCAAACCTAAGGCTAGGGAAAAGATTAATTAGCATAGAAAGGTAAGTAAGTACAGGGGCTTACTGACCTAGGGACAAGAGGTCGAAACTGAGGTCCCTAGGGCAGCAGAGGCAGGCTTATATACAGGGGAAGTTCAGGGGAGGCTGTGCGTGCTGGTCCGTGCGCAGCTGGTCTGTGCACAGCGTGCTGACGCGGCCCTGGGGGCCGGTGAGTCAGAGTGGCTGTGTCAGCAGAGCCCGAGCTGTGCCACGCACTGCCGTCCCATCTAATCTAATTGTACAGTAGATAAGGACTTGTCCGTTCGAGCGTATAGTACAGAGGTCATGGGTTCGAGCCTGCAAAAAGGAAAAAATAAAAAAACGGCTAGACGCCGTACCAACTCGTGACAGCCCCGCATCGCCTCAATGCTGCTACCTTTGACGGTCTCCACTTTCAGCCGATGCCTTCGCCGCTGACTGAAGCACGTTGCCGCTCCGGGTGGGAGATGGGCCGGGGGGCCTCGCATAAGGTCATGCGCTGTTGAGGGGGGGTAATGTCACGACTTGGTACGGCGTCTAGCTGTTTTTTAATTTTTTCCTTTCCACGGGCTCGAACCCGCGACCTCTGTACTACATGCCTGATATGGACGCATCGCTATCTACTGTACAATTAGATTAGATGGGCGGCAGTGTGCGGCACAGCTCAGGCTCCGCTGACACAGCCGCTCTGACTCACTGGCCCCCGGGGCCGCGTCAGCATGCTGCGCACGGACCAGCTGTGCACGGACCAGCTGTGCACGGACCAGTGCGCACAGCCTCCCCTAAACTTCCCCTGTATATAAGCCGGCCTCTGCTGCCCTAGGGACCTCAGTTTCGACCTCTTGTCCCTAGGTCAGTAAGCCCCTGTAACTTACTTACCTTTTCAATAACTAACTAACTTGTCCCTAGCCTTAGGTTTGAGCATTGCTCACCATCGCTTCGGTGAGAATCAGTCGAACGCCCCCAGCTTTCTTAGGTTTTCCCCTGTCACTTGACCTCAAGTCGCGACATTAGGTCGAAACTCTCACAGCTGCCGGCGTTCCTCAGAACTCCCACTCTCACATTCACTTCCCACAGGTCGGGTGGTGCGCACCCTTACTATACTTAGATAAGCCTACGATACATCGCCACCACTTAAGGAACGAACTTTTCGGTATCTGCACTTCAGTGGGTGATACTTGTCCTCACGGACGCGTGGCTTAGGTTCCTGCTGCATACTAGCCAAAAGCAGTACTGGGCCCCATGTGAACTGTGAACCTTAGTGTCATCTCGGGCGCCGTAGGTGTAAGCTAGTTACAACGGCCTTTCATAGTACGCGCACCTCCCCTTCCTTCCCCCATCCATTGTGGCTGAAGAAGCCTTTTACTGCGTGGGACTCGAGCACGCATTCGACGTAGAAGATCACGTTGACGTCGCACGCCTAGACGAACCAGGCTCCCTCTTCTCCGACTGTGACAAACAGCCGTGTCCCAACCGTACCCCGTGCTCCATCACTGTTGAAGACGGACACTTCGTACCCATCCGAAGGATCCAACATCCCCTCAGATGAAAATCCACACACGCGTCCCGATCAGCCTCTCGCCACGTCACCCCCATCCCGTCCCGACCTACCTCTCCAGGCACTCGCATTCCCCAACCTGTCGCCAGTACAGGTCAAGCGTGAGGAGATCCCGATCTCCCTCGAAGAGTTGACGCAGTTGCACAGCCTACAGCGACCCCTCAAGTGATCCCCCAGCCCTCCTTGGGGCCGCAGTTGGAAAAATCTCCCAAGGCCGAGCCCCACGACACTCTGTCGCATTCTTGGGCCAGCTCATCGTCAGCAGTCCCCTCCTCGACTCCAGTTCCTGTCATACGTCACCCCACCACCGGACTTCCTCCGTCACCTCCACCGCCGTCGCCGCCGCGAGGCCACTCGTGCACTCGCTCCAGTTGAAGTTCGCCCGGCGGACAGTCACAACAGCTGTCTTCGCCCGCGGGCAGTCCTCTGTCCCCCTCGTCGCCAGTAATGTCCTCACCCGCGTCCCTTCCGGACAAGGAGACACTGAAACTCCTCCCGCTCCGCTACAACGGGAAATCGGTGGTCGAATGCAACCGGTTCATCTCGCAATTGCTCATCTACTGGGCAGTCAACACGGCACTCTCAACCATCAAGCTAAAAGTTCAAGTCGCCCTCAGTCTCCTCGATGGTGATGCGCGAACCTGGGCCACCCCCATCTTCTCCCAGCTTGCCGCTGTCCAGGTTGGGGTCCAGGGAGCAACGACCCCCTTCGCGAATGAAGCAGCCTTCCTTACGGCGTTCAAGGCCCCCTTCGGCAATCTTGACGATGCCGCCGCCGCACAAGTGGAGCTCACCAAGCTCTGCGCTAACAAATCTGTCCGTGAGAAACGCACCGCCACAGAATTCTCTGCGCTGTTCAAGGGTCCGGCAGACCGTTCTGGGTATGGGGACCTGGAACTCCGCGACAAATACCTGAGCAGCATCCCCTCACGCGTCTACCGCAAGATCGAGCTCGAGACCTTCGCCACGTGGCAAGAAGCTGACAAGCGTGCCACTGAGGTCGAGCAGATCCTCGACATCAGCCGGGCCCGGCGGCCCGAGTTAAACAACTTTTTCTCGGCTTGAGGTCGAGGACGCGGAGGGGCACGCGGTGGTGCACCCCAGTCACATGGAGCTTCGGCCATCATCAATGCGGCCATCAGAAAAGGAAACTTCCCTGGCAGTTGTTTCGGCTGTGGGAAGCAAGGGTACCGACACTTCGAGTGCCCCAATTGTAAGGACAAGCCTTACACAAAACGCGCTGACGCGCGGGCTACGGTTGCCTCAGGTTCCACCCAGGCGGCGACAAGTGCCCCCGTCGCTTCATCCTCGGCGAGTACAAGCACCACTTCAGCGAAATCGGAAGGTTCCGAGCTGGCGGACTTGATGGCACAGGTGAAGTCGATGCGCGAGGAGTTGGAGCACTATCGGGCGCTCAAAGAAGAGTCTTTTTGATCCGGTCCGCGCTTCGTGCCGCACGTGTTGGGCCGCGTAATAATAACATGTACAATGTATTGGCTACTGCGAATGTTTACGAATTAGACC